TGAATTCAAATCAATCATTAACTAATAATAAGTAATCTTAATTTTAAGAAATATACTTAATTTACATTATATTTCATTAAAATTTATTATTAATTATGAGCTCTGCAATATAAAATTCAATTGTATTTGTAACTATTTATCTTTAAATAACGCATATTTATAAGGTCATTCCATTGCACCATTATCCGTAAAACTGGGATAAAATACATAAGCTAACTCTCTGAAATTAATTGAGTTACATAGATATAATGATTTCAGGAATAAATTAGTATCGATTTTGGTTCTGAAAGCAATCTCTCTAATTCCATTTCTTTTAAATAAATCAGCAAAGGTCGAATAACTCAATTAGATTCATAAAAAGGACAAAAACAAAAAAAATCATTTTTTCTGTAATAATTATACATTTTTTGCAGTTTAGTATAATTGCAAATCTGCTATTGAACTTGTTTTTATATTTTTCTCTCATAATAAATTATAGCTTTTTTTACGTTTCCAGATAATTTTGTAATTTTTTACTACGCCTTGGAGGATATAAATAATTAAAGATTTTTTATGAAATGATATGTTAAAAAAGATCATACTAATTACTTTAATTGACGCAATTTTAAAGCATTATAAAAGGAAAAACTAATTCTTTTTTTTTTACACTGTTAAAATTTTAATTAGAAAATTATGGTAAAATAGACGGTATCAGTCTGTCCATCTAATTAACCATAAAGTTAAGGGTTAAGAACTTCTTTTAATATTTGTGACTTTGAAACTGTTTGCAACTAGTATGGTTAAAAAATCCTGAATACAAAACTATATGGTTTCTTAACCATTTAATATTAGCATGGATTCGAAACCATAGGAAAGAAATTTAACTGGGCATAGGAGCTATGCCTTCCGTTAGGTAATAGATATAGGAGTAAAGCAGTGGTTGAGTTGTGTTTTATAAAATAAACTATGAAATGTGGTTTAAATAGTTTATCTGGTTGTTTCACCTATCGTAAAAGATGGGAAAAATTGGACTTGGGAAAACTTGCGTTGAATAACTTTATTTTGCTACCATCTATGCGTGACTGAGAGAATCAACTTCTATTAATCCAGAGTCACAAATTGGGGGATGCAGGACACTGGAATCTTTTTATGTGTTGAAGGGAATGAAAAAAAATATTGGATGTCACCGTTTGGATTCGAATCCATGTCGGTCATGTGATTGATAGATTAGCCCTCCCAAATATATTATATACATAGTATATTATACCAAATATATTATATACGATAAAAGTTTTGTTGCTTAACCGTATTAGGTGAAAGCAGTTTATAAATGCTTTTTCTTACAGTTAGCAGTTTGAATACCATCTTATTTACAGTTATTGGACTGTTTTGCTTGTATATGGTAAAATAACAAGTGAACAATTTGTTATTTAATCATTCTTTCTGAAAAACTAATAGCTGTATCACAGTGAGTTTTAAGACAGAAATATTAAGAACCACAACAAGTATTTCAAAATTGCTAATAACAATAACTGATATGACAGAACTGCTTGAAACCTTTAAAATTGGAATTGCTTAGAACTGGCAGTAATAAGAAGTGGTAAAAAACGAAGAATATAGTATACCATATTACCGATAGTCTATTCTGTGTTAAACTATCGAAATATATTTAATGTTTTTCATAGTAAGGCAATGAATATTATACATTAATAATACAATAGACAATAGTTTTTTTTAAAAATGATAAAATGTAAATTTTCAATTTAATTCTTATCTGGTGAATTCCATTGTAACTGCGCCTTTTAATATATACAAAGCAAGATACGCAAAGCTTTTTTTCATCAAACATCACTTACGCACACTATTAAAACTTTTGGTGAATAGTTGCTATCACTTTTAGTGATAAGGTATACTATAGATATTTTAAGTGGAGAGTAGTTATCGTGCAAACAATTACATAAAAAATATCAATTGTTTAAAAGAGTTAGCGTGAATATATTACTAAAAATGTGTTTGCCTAATTTAAAAAATGTTTGTGTTATGAAGCCAATTAATTTATTCAAATGTGCATGAAAATAGGTGTTGTCAATAACAAGCAAGCATAAAATAAAAAGGAAATAAAAAAAACTATAACAGTGAATAATTAAATAAAAAAATGTGAATAAATGCGCTTTAAAATTTTTAGTTTATCTCAACACCAAAAATAGTGGCTACGATACTATAAAATACTTTTCAGTGTAATGATCAGTGAGTTTCTTTGCCTAAATATATGAAGAATATCATTAACTTTTTTTTCTGAATAAGATTAAAATTAGTTAGAAGAGTATCAAGAAATTTAAAAAAAAACTATTAACTATTTATTTAAAATAGACAAGCTCTTCCTTGATGTTTTACTCAATGTAATTGTTACGTAACTCTCTCATAATTCACTGTTATATTTACCCCAGTTACTGAAACCATTCAACTCACGAAATAATCTATAAATCAGTGTTTTATGTTTGTTTTAAATTTTTTAAAGTTGTTTTTATGCTGAGATATATTCATAATAGTTTTAAGTCCCCAGTTGAAATTATATTTTCAAAATACAATTCCAGAGTAATAATAAATAGGTAGCATAACTCTCATATATTTTCTTTAAAAATTTAAAGTAAAACCATTCAACTAAATAAATGTCATGATTTTTTATCTTTTAATAGAATACAAACTTTTTAAATATGTTGTTATTTATGTCACCATTAAAAAAATATTATAAATTGATGCAATACTTAAAATTACCGAAGGGCTACATAAAACAATTTTCCATGGTTTAAACATTTATTAGTGTAAAACTAAAGTGCTCCATTAAGTTGAAACCGTTCAGCTAAGCAAATGTTATGATTTTTTCCTTTTTATTAGAATACAAACTCCTTAAATATCTTACCATTTATGTCCGAAGTAAAAAAAAAATATCAATATATGCGAGATTTAAGATTAACAAAAGGCTAAATAAAACAAAGACAAGAACTTTGAGTTTTCACACATCTGCAATATTTAAATTTAATTTGTAAATCTAAATTATTTCTTTTTTTCTTTTTAAAATTTCCTTTCTTTATGGCTTGTCAAGCGTACACAACAGAAGATAATGCAGTTTTTTAAGTGTTATGTTTTATTGTTTATTTGTAAGCAAATATAACTAGAAAAGACCACATGACAAAGCAAATGATTCCCAAATAACATGTATTCAACAAGATACCTGTACCTAAGATTTGATCCAATGACCAGCATATATAAGCTCAGCAGACATGTGAAAGTAAATAAGAACATAATACAGGACGAATTAAACGCTCCATTAAACTTGGTCCTAAAGAACATGATTGATATGTCCTAAATCAGTATATATAATGATCTTCCCCAGCGTTAGAGTTTAAATTCTAATCATGGAACCGAGTTTTCATATGATAAAATCATCTAACACTGCTCTTCATCTAATATCCTTCACTACTGGAAATTCTTCCATTTTTTGAAAAATTCCAATAGTTTTGTTAATTATCCTTATAGTACCTCATTTTTGTCAAATATTTAGAGATCTAATCTAACTTAATTTCCACATCTTGAACCCAACCATTTTTCACGTATTTCTGTTTATTATATTTCTCAAGACTGTTCCTTTTCCCCTATTGGTTAAACCACCACACTAATTTCTTTATTCGCAGATTCATGCATTCCTTTATTTTCTAATTTACAAACAATTGAATTTAGTCAGCAATTCACAAATCTACGTTTGCTCACTAATTTCTTGGACTAATTCACAACACATTCATTTCAATTCTTATAACGTTTACTACTTCAGGGATACCATAATTAGCAACCATATCATAGTCCGGGCATAAAATATTATACTTTTAAAACAAGAAACCAAAAAAATAAACTATTTTAAAACTATCCACTTGAGAAACAAACTAATCAAGCAAATGAAAAATCATAAGCAATATCGATTGTCACAGTAACGGAAAATTGCAAATGACTCTCAAAATATTCCCTGTCTCGTACCAATATTACATATCTTCCTCACTATTTTGTCATTAGTTCAAGCTTATAGAATGTACAGTAGTATATAGGATGAGATGTGTTTTCTGAAAATATGTATTTATTAAAATTTTCTCTCATGGAAATAAAATCAAAAAGTAATAATTCAATAGCATGAAATTGCATGAAACTACTAAAATTTATTTTGTATGATTTTATTTTTACATTTATTTCAAATATATTTAAAAAACTTAATTTTTTATAAATCACTTATGCTAGGGAAAACTTTAATAACGTTGATTTCACTTCTGTATTTGAAGTAATGAAAATCCATCACTTAACTTAATGAAAAAGACGCTTCTCATTCGAAGGTTTCAAATTCAAGACATTCTTTCGGATTCTTTCTTAAAATCTGAACAATGACCTATAGAGAACAATCACGCCACCCTGATTTTCTTTCACCAACTAAAAGTGGAAAAATCCCTCATACAAGATCTCCTGCACATGCGTCTCCTCCGCAGCTTGACTCGCATGCTTAGTTCTCCCGGCAGATAGAGAATTGAATTCAGAAGCGCAAGATCAGAATATATATTCTTCCTCTTCAGCATCTTGCCTCACAGAGTTTCTTCATTGGCCTGGTCGTTGAATTCTTTGCATGTGATCCGTGTAGTGGGGTTGGAGGAGTTAAACACCCCTCATGAATCGTTTGGCATTCAATGAATGCGTCGCACAGAGCGGGCTTTGAATTGCTGATGTATTTCTTAGATATTATTTCGCAGTTACAATTTTTTTGTTGATATTTAAATCTTCAATTTAAATTTTTTATACTTTAAAATATGAGTGATTATAAATTATGAATTCATAAAATATGAGCATGATCAATTAAAAAAAAGGATTTCTTAGTCTTGTGCATTGAAAAGATATATTTTTAATTGAAAACTGAACTACGGAAATGTTAAATAAGTTTGTACGGAACATGTGTATAAATTTAGTTAGATAGCAAAGTATTTGAAAACAAAGCAAATATAACTGCTAATTAGTTGGACATAAAAACAAAGGTCTTCCGAACATATTTGTAAGATTTAACTTTAAAGTTATCGTTTAAGAAGATATAGGAATCGGTACACAATTTAAAGGGATTTAAAATATTTTCTGATTTTAAAATAAAAATTTTGGTGATAAGAAAAGATATAAACTTTTAAGTTCAGTATCAAACTGCACGCTCACTTGTTTCGTCATGATGAAATTTTATACCATGATTAATGTACCAATTCTTTTGGGGAAAATGTTGTGGCTCATCTGTGTCATCCTGCATCTAGTTTGTTTTTCCTCTGCTACAACTCTCCTGGAACCAGACTCCAGAACTTTGAGCTCAAGAGTTGTGAGTACTCGTTATGGGGACCTTCGAGGATTCTTAAGTAGCTTGAGCAATCGACAACTGCAACCCGCTGAGGTGTTTCTCGGAGTACCATATGCTGGTGCCCCCAAAGGTCCTCTGCGTTTCATGCCCCCAGTCACGTCCCCGCATTGGAAAGGCGTCCGTTTGGCTAATCAATTCAGTCCAGTTTGTCCCCAAAAATTGCCAGATGTTGCTAATGAAACTGAAGCTTTGAACAGAATGCCATTAGGCCGATTCCGATTTCTTCGGAGACTCTTGCCTTACTTAGCAAATCAAAGTGAGGATTGTCTATATTTGAACATCTATGCTCCATCACCTGGTAAGTGCAATAGAATTATATACTTATTTTCAGAAGACGATTCTTATTTTATAGTTTTGTGACGAATTTCGGGAAAATTATTTTGGATTTCTTTTTTTTTCAATACTAGCTTTTATTTTTAAAGAGCATTATAATTGTTTCATGTTTATTCATTCAAATATTTATCAAATTCTCATTTTATTATTTATTTATATATANTATATATGTATATCAAATCCGCAATAAATATTATCTATGCAATTTAAGCAAATTATCAAATTCAATTTATCAAATGCGTTTATAATTATTAAATCAATTGCGCAATATATTAACATCACGAACTGGTTCCTTGTTTATTGCTTAAATTCAGCTCAAAAATGGTTCTAATAACAATAAAAAAACTGGTCTTGAAATGCATAAAATGTATATATTTTACAAGTATATGGGAACCGTTAGCTGATTCCGCATAATATTTATATACTATATATAATGCATAGAGATAATTCACCATATATTCACACTAATATTTAAAATAATGCGACGATATGTAATTGTATTTTTGAAGGGAATTAAAACTCACTAGCAAAGAAATATCTTAAAGCAGTGATATTAAACTAAACAACGGATTTATGCTTTGTAAAAAGAGAATCCTGTAATACTGTCACTGCATGTGTCTTTAGGTTTAAAAATTATTTGTAAAATACAATTGTGAAATTTTGTTTTATTTATTGATTTATATATTGATTAGTATTTTACTTCAGTTACATTCGTTCTTTTTCAACAAAATATTCTTACATATTTTTACAGCTACACTCACACAATCAAAGTAAGACATGAAAAATCATTTTCCATGTATTTAGAACATGTATTTGTTTGTCTTATCTGAGTTTAGTTTAGTTAATATTATAATATGGAGAGAGATAACGTTTAATATTTATTTCAAATTTAGTTATCACTTAAATTTTATTACTAGGGAAGTTTTACTAAATTAAAGCTGGTAATCTAAGAATAACACACGAACGAAACACTATACTTAAAGATCATTTCTTTAGAATTATTAATCGTAATACAATCCCCATTGCGAATATATTGTTTTTTATTCCTTTACATTTTGTTTTTGTTTCATAATCATTATAAATAAAATTTTAAATATAATTGCTCAATTAAGAAATCCACAAAATTGGTTGCATTTATAATTCCTGTATATAAAATAAGATATAATATAAGAAATAATTCTTCTATAATGCTTAAAGTATCCAAGGTTAGAGTCATAAAATTATGTAAACACTTGTTGCTTCAAAAATATTTTAGAACATGGTGCATAATGGAATATATAATATTATATTAATTATAATTGTATGCATTTTAAGACATACTGAAAGATCATTTTTTGAGAAGTTACTCACAGAACGGAGTGTTTGGAGTGTTTTGTATATATGTATAAAATAATTTTTTTTAAAAATTAGCGAAAACAAAAATAATGCTCTTAACTTAGTTCGTTATCTCATAATAGCAAACTAAGCTTATTTGGAATATCAATATCAATCATATTCACAAGTTTTATGTCTTAAAGTACTATATACCATTTTGTAGCTTTATTTCAAAAATCTGTGATTTGTAACGCGCAGAACTATAACGAAATACTTTCTTTTTTTTTTTAAAAAAAAAAGGCATATCTTTTAAGAAAGAATTTTTAAAACTGTGAAAATCAATATTTTTTTATGTGAATTCATAAAATAAATGTGATACATCCTGTGTGGCTGGATTGCATGACCTCAAACTCCATGAACCTCGGGGCTCATAACTGGCACTTTCGAGTAGGGAATGCTTTCAGTCTTATATAATTTGTAATCTGCATTTATTTATGTAAATAAAAGTAGATGATTTGTAATGTTCTTTGAACATAGTTAATTTTTTGGGAATTTCATTAGGATGCTGAATTTAGGTGATTATTTAGGTAAAAAACAGTTAAGCTGTTTGCAATGTTCTCTGAACTGAAACAATTTTTTATATACATCAATTGGATGGACAACTTTTGCTTAAAAAATAAAACAAATAAATAATATGTATTACAGACTATACTTAAATTCGTTAGGATTTCTAAAGAACTTGACATCGTAAAATTCATCTTATGTAATAATACTCAGTTTAAGATTTCTAAAATATAATGGAAAATATAATGGAAGTGGGAGGAAACAGTTTGAAATCAAGTAAAAAAGAGATGTTTTTCCATATAGTACGTATTTTAACTCTTCAAACGAGATTTCTTTTTGTTAAAATTTGTCCTTTGATATAAAAAATCAGTAGCAGTTTTTTTAAAAATATATTCAATTAATATTTTAATAAATTTAATTGTAAAAAAATAATTTCTTCTTAGAAGCTTCTATTATTTTAATTTCTTAAATATTTTGAGAAAACGCATTTCATCTTTGACGGTCAAAAACCCAGAGTGAGCCCTAATGTACTAAACTATTTCTGAAAATAAATATTCGTTTGTTTTGTATTCGTATTTTGAATTCATATTCATAAATTCGTATCCATGTTTTTTTTTTTATTCCGAATGTGTCAAGATTCTTTTTGACACAATAGATCCAACTTTCTCGGGGTTCATCCTTTAATTCTATTTTTGATAAGTGTTGTCAAAAAGTCATTTGAAATTGCTTAATTCTTGAACTTCAGTCACATGGTCAGGGACAACGAAACTATGCAACGTCAAATTCTTTAATTATTTAGTACAGTTCTGAAGTTGTTTCGACCCAGTTTTGAAATTGATTCAATTTCTGCAAAGATCCAATCTCTTGAACTGCAAACTGCACATGTATGGTTGCTCATTTGATTACTTTGTACTGTATTAAGATTTTCTTTTAAAAATTTATAGAATTGTTTATTTTTTCAAATGAAACGAAAAGTTAAGTAAGGACTTTCAGTAGTTCTTTTTTAATTTAATGTATATAACCGCAAATTAGCCGATTTTTTAAATTCCAAAAATGTTTACAGAAACTTATCGACTTACTCGAGAACATTTTCCATAATAAAGTCTAACATTCGTTGATCGTGAAATATCGATGATTTACAAACAATGAGATAGATGTGAAGAAGTCTGTGCCAATTTACTCCTTACTAAATCTATTCTTAATATGTTGTAAACAATAAATTTCTCCTTTTTTTCATCATATTTTCTTCTCTTGCAAAAAGTGTTTTTAGGACGCCCTTTAAATTACATTCAAGGAAAAAATTGGATAAAGAAAATATATATATATATATATATATATATATATATGACACTTGGCGCAAATATTATATAG